ACAGTTAATTTGCATAAGGATATGCTGATTAGCCAACGGGAAGGGTAGCGGTTGTACGCTAATTACCATGTTTCTCTTTTATTAGTGTAGATATATATATATATATAGTGACTGAAGATTTGACTTTGGATGGTGAACACACAATGCAGTGTACCGATTATATAATATAGGGTTGTATACTTGAAACCTATATAATTTCATTAACCAGTATCAGCTCAATTAAGAAGTTGTGGTACATATATACAATGGAATATTATTCAGCCATAAAAAAGAATGAAATCGTACCATTTGCAACAACACGATTGGACCTAGAGGCTTTTATAGTAGGTGAAATAAGACAAACATATAATTTCATCTATTTGTGGAATATAAAAAGCAAAATAAATGTACAAACAAAACAGAAATAAACTCATAAGTACAGAGAACAAACATGGGTTGCCAGATGGGAGGGGGACTGGGAGACTGTGTGGGAAAAATTGGAGAGATTAAGAAATACAAATTTGCAGTTACAAAATAGTCATGGAGAGATAAAGTACAGTTTAAGGAATATAGTCAAAGATGTTGTCATAACTATATGTATGATGTCAGGTGGATGCAAGACTTATTGGGGGCATCATTTCACAAGTTATATAAAGGTTTAACCATTATGTTGTACACCTCTAATACAGTATTGAATGTCAACTGTAATTGAAAAAGAAAAAATTTCTTTCAAAAGAGAAAAATATTTGGATAACTGATTTATGACACTAATTTTAAAAATCCCATGAATCTACACTAATAAAAGAGAAACATGGTAATTAGCGTACGACCGCTACCCTTCCCATTGGCTAATCAGCTATCCTTATGCAAATTAACTGTCAGCCAAGATGGCGGCCGGCAGCCATGCACTGAAGCGAACAGGGAGGCTTGCTTGCTCCAGTGATGGCAGACTCCAACGTTCCCCGCCTGACTTGCCGGTCTCTCAGCTGCAACTCTAAGCAACTATGTTGCAAATATAGAAGCTAAACAAAACCCCAGAAACCGGCTTTCAGTCAGCCTGGCTTCAGCCAGC